ACAACATCCATGAACCAGAAACAACCCAGCAGATCCGGGGAGTTCTCAGATACCACCAGCACCCTGAATACGACCCCAACACCGTGTCCAATGACATCATGCTGCTCAAGGCAAGGCAGTCCTGCAGCAGGCAGTGGGTTGGAGGGTAGAGGGGGGGCCTGTGCAGAGCACATTCTTGCTGTTAGCTCCTTCTGCAAACCATCAGCTGCTTCTGCCCATGAGTGCTGGAGGCAGGCAGGAATGGGAGGGCACCACGGGCAGGGCTTGGAGCCACATGCTGTATTTCCAGCAGCTCACCAGAGCTTGCAGTGCCGGATGTCCTTCTAGATCTCCCCTACCTCTGCGCACAAAGTGTCCTTCAGCTGTTTTGCTCATAGCCTTCTCCAAAAACCTTGCTTTCTCCTAGCTGACAGCAAAGGCCACTCTCAATGACTACGTCAAGACCATTCCACTGCCCAAGACCAGCAGCGACCTCCCCACGGGCACCAAGTGCAGCATAGCCGGGTGGGGCCTGATTGATGACAACCAGGCAACCAACAAGCTCTTTGAAACCAAAGTCTCCATCTACAGCCGCAGGAAATGCATCCGCTTCTACCCGCATCTCAACACCGGCATGGTCTGTGCTGGCAGCTTCCATGAGCTCAGGGATTCCAGTCAGGTACGGGCTGCCGACGGGCTGAGGGCTTGGCCGTGGGGCAGGCAGGTTCTCCGGTAGCAGGGGTTTCTGCTGGCACAGACTTAGCTGGTTCCCAGGAGAGGTGACAAGCATTTGATGTGTAGCTCCCGTGTGGACTAGCTCCCTGGATGCCCTGATGCCACCTTCCATGCGCAGCCCCAGGGTAGAGCCCCAGCTTGCCTGCTCCTCCAGCACGGCGGGCACTTGGGGCTGGAGCAGAGACGCAGGTCCAGAGCAGACACGGCTCTGCCGGTGGTGCCGAGGCAGGGAGGGACCAAGGAGGAACCTGTTCCTGCAGGGGAGAGGCCTCTAAAACCAGTCTCTCATCTGTCCTCAGGGGGATTCTGGTGGGCCCCTGGTATGCAATAAGGTGGCACAAGGCATCGTTTCCTTTGGATACAACACCCCGCCTGGGGTCTACACCCGTATCTCCAACTACCTGCCCTGGATCAAAAAAACTCTGAAGAAGTAGCAGCAGCGGCGGCACTCGTTCCAGCACTGGCGCGGCCCTGGAGACGGCACTGGCTTCCTTCCTGCCCCTGCTGAAGGCTTGGCTCCCTCCTCTCTCTTTTGGAACCTGAGTGACCTGATCAGGGGACATGAGGGTCCCTTTCTTTCCGTTCTGAGGCTGCTGGCTGTCCCATTCCCTGCCTGTCTCAGGCAGCCAGTTCAGGGCCATGTTAAATCACCCTGGCAGAAGCAGGGATCATCCCAGGTGGCCCCAGAAAGAAGCTGTGCTACAACAGACCCCATTTTCCTTCCGAGATAACCCTGTCCCACATGAGCCTTGCTGCATTTAACACCCACAGTAAACTCAGAGCTGCATTTCCCAGCATGTCTCCTCCTTTTTTGTACCTTGCTCCAGGGAGAAGGGAGGGAGGGTCTAGCTGGTCACAGCCAGAGGTCCGCCTGTTGGGACAAGGGCAGTTGCAGCTCTGCATCCATTGCATGGCTGGCAGACTTGGAGGACAAGAACTGCAGGTGCCCTTCCTGGGGTCACAGGGATGAGTGTTTTGCGGGAAGAGAAACTGCCCGGGTAGAAATGGGCTGAGAAAAGTGATGTGCACACACTCCCTTCACCAACTTCAGCCATGCCACCACCTGCCTGCGAGCAGCTGGCAGCCAGGATGCGGTGCGTCAGCAGGTACCAGGAGTCCAAAGCTGCCGTTCCCTGCTAAGTAATGACTGTCCCCTCTGCAGGGACCTCGTGCCTGGGTGCTGTTGCACCCCAGGACATAGGGCAGCCAAGGCAGCAGGCCAGGTCACGGGGGAAACCAGGCTAATCTTCTCAGCTGTGAGAGGCTCCAGCAGGTGAAGGGAGCTGGTCTCTTTGTGGACTGTGCTGTTTCTGTTCCCCTTGGGTGTAGGGCGGGTGGCAGCTGAGATCCCAGGGATGGGGCTTTTGGATCCCGGAGAGGGGACGTACTCAAAGTCCCAACTGTTGCAGACCAGTGCTTCCAGTCTTTACCTCTGCCATTCCCCAGCAGCCGCAGTCCTCCGTCTCCTGAACAGCAACTCGTCATGGGTAGAGACGTGGATACAATCTGTGAAAGGATTGTGCTGGAAGGGTTGATAAAGGACCTGGGTTCACAAAAGTGCCTGAGCCCACGTCACTTCCTCCTTTCCTCCCATGCCATGATGGAAGAGCCCAACTCT